AGCAGAACGAGAAGATCCATTTCTTTTCTTATCTAACATGCTGTGGCTAACGAGCTCGCAAAACAAAGTGGTGCATGGAGGGGACAGCGAGAAAGTGGAGTCGAATGCGTCTCCACGGCACCTCAACACACGACGTTCCCACTGATGGGATATCTCGGTCCTCGCAGGGCGAAGAGTTAGGCTGCAATGATTTCTTCCTCATGTAACCTTTATATTCCTCTCACCCACATGGGATCCGAGCCTCTGTCCGTGAAAAGCCAGCTCCATTGTGCGTGAACCAGTTGGTGTGTGGCACGCGTGGACGGGCTGTAAAACCTTGTGAGCCACTGCACCTGACCTCGCACCCAGCCGTTTTACCTCTGCCGTACCATCGGACATACGTCGTTGAACGAGCGCAGCGGATGCTGGGGAAGCCTGCTATCACCATAAACTTATTCACTTGTCAGTCACCGTGAATGCGCCCGCTCTTGTGTGGTGGATATCGTCGTTTGTGACGGTCGAAACGATATGTTACTTTTGGTTAAAAAAAAATGTCAACATTTACAGGTTTTACCTTGCATTTCTCATTGGGGGCGTCAAATAACAAAGATCCATGATTATCCGCCCTCAAGTAGCAGCCTATTCAATTTATTTCATTTTGATCAAAGGAAAGATAAGCGAACGCCTTTGATTGCCCTTTTGGTTAAAAATCGCTGAAAAAAGCATCGACGCAGAAGGCAAGTGTAAGAAGTGGTTTTTGTATAATTGCAGGCGTAAGGAGAGCCATCGTCGATTGGTCTAAAACGCCATACTTATAACGAGTAGTAAACGTACATGTAATTGGTTTCTTCCCTAGGTCGACGTGTAGGTGGTAAGTGTGAAATTTGATCCATGTCCAATTTGCTCTTAAAGGAATTCCCACATGTTGAGATAACAACCAAAAATTGTAGGTTATTTACCTAACATTGGTCTTAGCATAAGATAATTTCATTTGAAGCATCGTGCCGAAGACAGTAAGATCGATTTTTCCTTTTTTGCAAAACGCAGCCCCCGACACACGTCGGTCCGCGACAGGAAATACAGACTTCCTTCAGAAGACCTTCGCATGCGTCTCTGGGATCTCAGGAAACGAAAAAGGTCTCTCAAACGCCGCACCTTCTTTCCCCTCTCTCCAGGAAAGTCAGCATGAAAGTGTGGCGGAAAGCTTGACGGTCGTCGTAAAAGGCCTTTTAGACGAGTGTCCTGACAACAACCTTAGTCCATCGGTCAACGGATTGGTCGAGGTAGGTGTCTCCACTTATTTTTGTTTTCTTTGTTCACTGTGTGGTTGATAATTAGACAGATTGTTTGTGCAATTTCGTCCCTTTTCACACCCCACGTTTTCCCTTCGAGCATCCTTTGCAGTTCGGGAACTTTAAACAGAAGCTTCATGGTACCTAAGCCCTTTGCAACTGTGTTCCCTTTCCTCTCTCAGCCCCTTTCTAATTTAAACATGTCAATTTCAAGACAGGAGTATAAAAAACTAGCTTGGTTTCTAACGTGCACTTTCGTCCCGATGGAATTTGAAGCTATTTCTGAAGCAACGGAACTTCAGATTTTCCGACGAACGTGAGCATTACAGTGTCCCGGCGATCACAAACCAAAAACCATCGACATTATTGGAAGTCCAGCGTCTGCGAATAATTACAGGCCAGTGAGCCTGAGCTCCATTTTTTGCAAAACCACGGAGAAAATCATTAAAAAAGCCTCGATGCAGTTTCTCGAGTAGAATCACCTGCTTCCCGATGTCCATCCATATTGACTTCAAAAAACATTCTACAGCGTCCCTCACCAATGCCGCCTGCATAAAACATGTAGCGCGGGAGTTTGTGGGATCCTCTTTGTATGGATCCAACACGTTTCGATCGGACTGCGCCAAGGTGTACAAGCCGGTTGCCGGCAATCCTCAGTGGCAACCGTGGTGAGTGGCGTCCCACATGGCTCAGTTTTAGATCCAAAGTTATTCCCTTTTTTATCATCGGCTGTGTCAGGGGCCTATACCGTGATGTCAAAAAATCAGCTTTTTCGAAATACTTAGAAGCTTCGTTCGGCCATGCTTAGAGATGGATAAATTTGACTTTCAAAGATTTACCGTCTTAGAGAAGGTCCAAAAGCGGGCGACAAAAATAACTTAAGGTCTAGGAACACTGACATATGAAACCAGGTTATCAAACCTATCCCCTTTTCTGCAGGCAACTACGAGGGTATCTCATATTGACTTTCCGCATCATGAATAACCTGTATTTTTATTTTTTCCGATGACTGTTTCCCTCAGACTAACTCGCCTACTTTGCGCGGTCATCCAGACAAAGCAGGGATCGATGGACGCAAGTTTCTTTCAGTAACAGAGTAGGTGCAGCTTGGAACGCTCTGCTCGAAGATGCTGTCCTCTCAGCCTGTG